ATACTAAATCATTCTCTTTCTCCTCTCTCTTTTTCTCTTTTATGACAGCCTGATTATTTATTTCATCTCTCTGTCTTTGACCCTCTCCCACTCTCGTCCCTGCATCTCTGTTTCTATTTCGAGCAGAGAGAAAGAAATATGTGATGAGGGGGAAAACACATTTATCAGTTAGCTGTGTCATCTTTGGAAGTGGAAGAAATGCGTCCTCTGTCTTGTTTCTCTGTTGGTAAACAAGCCTGACAGCACACAGATTTATTAGTTCTGTTATGCAAAGAGGATTTCGGCAAACACCGTTTCAGGAGATCTTTGATAGAGCCTGTGTTGGAGTTTCTTCTAACAGTTAAGGTTGAAACAAACACCAGGAAATTGTTATTGGGTGCTTGTCCTGCCAGACAGAGTTAGACAGGGAAGTCACAGTTCCACAGAGAGAAAAAACAGGAACTGTAAAGTTGCATGTCAGATTCATTGTGAGTTTTGGGCTGAGATATACTATAAGATAGTAATAATATACAAAGAGAAAATGTGCATAATTAAGGGTGAAGTCAGGTCAGGGTGTTCTAGTAAAGTGCCAAACGCAAAGTCACACATTCAAATGATGTAATTTCCTCTCAGTTTGGGTTTACTGGAAGTCTTAACTTTTTTTGGTTCTTGGGTGAAGCTCAGAAGTATCTAAGTATCTCATCAACAAAGTGTTCTGTGTAATATTCAAGTGGAAGACTTCAGGGAAACTGCTTAATAAAACTGAATAGTGACCCACATCCATGAGGCTGTACTCAGGCACAGTGGTGCTTTGAGCTATCTGCTAACATCAGCATGCAACTAACTTTGCTCATTAGCACTGGACACAAAGTCCAGCTAAGGCTGATGGGAATGTTATTAGTTTGGCACTTATTTGGTCATTAAAGAAGAAGTATTCGTCAAATTGAAATTTTGACGTGATGATTGCACTAGAAGAAAATTCATCCTGGGGGTGACGTGAATTTCTGTACAACATTTCACGGTGGTCCATCCGATAGTTGTTGAAGCATTTCACTCAAAACCACAAATGTGAACCTCATGGTGGCACTAGAGAAAAAGCTGGGTGATTTAAATTCATAAAGAGATGTCATCTGGGACACTGGAGGGCATGTGCTACAGGAAAAGTCAGGGGATCACTAACGTTATTAATATTGGACCCCCATGAATGTCTGTACAAAATTTACTTACAAGGCTATTGAGATATTTCAGTCTAGACCAAAATAGGTGACCAACTGATTTGCGATCATGGCATGCACGGCTAAAAACACTAAGGAAACTATACAATATTTCTAGCATAAGTTTAATGGAAATGCACAATATTTATTTTCTTAAATTTTTTAGATTATTTCTAGTAATATAATATTTGTTTTACACAATCTGTAAATGAAATCTAGTACAGTAACACAGAGCAGGAAATGACACACGCCTGTTTAGACATCCCACTACCAATAAAATCCAACATGATTATTTAGCTGCCAGTGTTCCTGTGTTGCAGCCATGCCTATCCCCATGGGGAGTCAAATAACCAGGACTGAATCAACTCATTCATTCCCGGAGAGACTCAGTGGTTTGACTGTTAGTCTCTGCTCATAAATCTCAGTCACACCAGCCTCCTTTCTGTGATGAATCTTTCTCTTGTAACTTAACAACAGGGATCGACTGCCTTTGCCACAGAGGAGCTGTACTTCTATTGTGTTTGTGACACATTTGGCAAAAGCAACACGTCTCAGCAGTGTCACTGGGGGGTGAAATGCAGAGCTGTCAAAAGACAGATATGTGTCATTATTGTTTTCGTATCATGTATGACATCAGAATACTATATTTAATATATTTATTGTGAAGCTAGATGTGAAGCTCAATACCATCTGTCCATTAAATATGAAGCTACAACCAGGACAGGACACAGTTAGGTTAGTTTAGCATATAGATTGGAAGGGGAAACAGCTAGTCAAAATCAGGATTAGTGCGGACAAAAACTAAAATGCAAAAATGACATTTTGTGGTTTTATGGGAATTTATGTCCTGGATTAGTTCTTGGCCGGGGCTCAGTGACTTTCGCATAACTCCCCGTAAAACCACATGTCTGGTCCGGTAAATACGAAGCTACAGCCAGCAGTCATTTAGCTTAGCTTTGCATAAGGCTGAAAATAGCTAGCCTGGCTCTGCCGAATGGTAACAAAATCCAAATTTTATAGTTTTTCTATAAATAGACATAATATGTTTAATCAGTGAGTGTTAAGTTATATTTTTTTAAGCTTGTTACAGAGGGTAGCTGTTCCCTAACTGTCTCCAGTCTTTATGCCAATTTAGCTCCTCAACTTTTGGTTGTAGCTTTAAATAATTTATCAAGATATTCACTGGTTCCCGTTGTTTAGATGTAAATTGAAAATCTTTGTGTGAATATCGTTCGTTGTCTGACAAAAACAGCCATTTGAAGCCATCACCTTGGACTCAACAACTTGTGATGGACATTTTTCACAATTTTCTGACATTTTACAGACAAAGTGATCAATTGGAAAAAATAATCAACAGTTGAATCGATTATTTTATTAGGTTTTTCTATCAGTAACTGTTTATTTTTGTAGAATGGATAACTATAAGTGGTATTTGTTTTAGGATTATGTGAAGATAAGCATGTTGTTCTGCTCCTCCTTACTGAATTTTTCCCAGTAAAAAGGCAAATTGACCTTCACAATGTCAGAATTAAGTGCATGATTTCATGCGCGAATGGTCTGTGGTCACTCTCACTATCATTAGTGTAGTTTGTTAGAGGAAGTCATGAAAGCAGGGAAGTCAAAGTCATCTGGGAGAAGTGATGCAATTATTTAAAGGTTCCCAGCTTGTGATCACATGGATACAATTATAATGAGAGCAGCTTGTGAACCAACGAGACAAGGCAATTGAACTGCCACCACACCATTAATGTCATGCCATATTTTTTCAGAGGATTTATGGACTCATATAATGACATCATGAGGATTTTGCTGTAATTGAAAGGATGATACTCCATCACAGCAGCCATGCTTCACTCTCCGGCTCTCACTCACCCACTTTTCCCAGAGCACCCTTTCCTCAAACATTTTCTAAGTCGGCAGTGGAGGTCCTGCTGGAGAGACGCCCTGTCTCTCCTGATTCAGCCGTCTGTTAGAGCACAGTCCAGTATTCACTCCTGCCATATACTAATCCTTTCATTAGACTGGGCTTCAGGCAGCCCTGTCAAAGAGCTGACTGTGTGAGGAGTCAAGAGAGACTGAGACTGATACACAGAGATACATTTACAGATACGCACTGTAACTCAAACACCGAAACACCTTCCCACACACACACACACACACACACACACACATACATGGGTATATATTTATATATATATATATATATATATATGCATACTCCAGACTCATTATCACGTTCACACGTACAAATACGCTTCAATGTCACTCACCTTTTCTGTACTGGTGTTGGGTATAAAATAGCATTTGTCCTCTTATATTATGGCTATATTTGTTAATGATCACATTATGATCACCTTTTTCGGGGCATGAGCTGCACAGAGCTGATCTTTCCATCTTGGATTGTTTCATTTGAAGGATTTTTAGAGGCCTGAAGAGATTGAAGTTTTTCACAAGAGAAAAATAAATATCAGAGAACGATGAGATTAAAAATATATAGATGTTCTGTGTATTATAGATATTATTTTTCCTTTTTGTTCCCTAGGAAAAGGAATAAATAGACTGCTTGTCGAGAGTTAGATAAAAAGATTACACTCTCATGTCTCTACACTAGATATGGAGCAAGAGCCAGAAACCTTGTTAGCTTAGCATAAAGACTGGAAACAGAGGTAAGCAGCTAGCACGGCTCTGTCCAAAGGTAATAACTTATCATTTTTACTCTTTGGATTTTGTACGAATTTAACAAACAATGTTAATTTGTGCTATCTAGCTTTTTACCCCTGATTCCAGTGTTTGTGCTAAGCTATGCTAACATGCAACTGGCTTTAGTCTTATATTTAAAGCAGCAGTTCAACATTTTGGAAGATACGCGTATTCGCTTTCTGGCAGAGAGTTAGATGAAACAATTTATACCACTATCAGGTGCTGGTCAAGAAATAGTCAGTTGTTTCACTTGATTTTTCAGTTGTTTCCCCTTTGCTTCAAGTCTTTATGCTTAATTAAACATCTGGCTCTCGCTTCATATTTAATGGACTGTGGTCCTGTTTTTTTCTTGGCACCCCTTGAGGGGTACTGACCCCCCCAGGATGGAAGCCACTGATTTAGATGGCTAATTGTCTGTTCTGAACTATGCCGAATGACGTCATCTTTGCAGGGTCACTGTGGGAAACAGGAGCAACCAGAGGTTTGTCCTCTGGGCTTAAAATAAATAGAGACACTTTATTTGGAAGTGTTGCCTTTGTATCGGTCATTCAAATACCACATTAAAAAAATGCTTCAAGATGAATGCAATGGTTTTTAATAGGCAAGGATATCTTTTGGGGTCTCTGGAAAGAGATATTGTATCTCAAGATGCACTGTGGTTAAATAAAACTTAAATAAATAAATGGAGAGCAGTCCAGCAGCATCACACCACAGTCGCTCACTGTATATACTGTGGGTATAGATAGAAAAATGTATGCATATGTCCCACTTTGCTCCATGTCCACCAAACAAACACTCACCATAACACACATACACTGGCACTTTTAAGCACACACCCTTGTACTCTGCCTCATATTCTCACACATTAGTGACAACGTTGTTTTAAAGGAGCTGCAGTCCTGAATAAATGCTTGGTTTGGCAAAGGCAGTTAAAGTCTTTGCCATCATAAGCTAACATGTGAAAGTAGCCTGGCTTGTTTCTGACTTCGAAATGACACAAGTAATGTGGTTGTGACAGATGTTGGTGTAGGTCAAGATGTCAAGAAGAAAGATTGTCTCTCTTATGACAAACCTGTCTGTCTCTCTCCTTTCTGTTGTCTCTGTTAGGTAAACAACATGAGGAAACCACCGCTGGCCAGCGAGGATTTGCTTTCTCATGTAATTTAGCATTTTTTCCCCATGCATCACCTTGCTTCATCCGGACTGATGTGGCAGAATATTCAACCGTTCCGAGACATTTTTTCCTGGGAGTCTGCGCCTGTGCTCGGTAACAGGCAGGCAGACAGGAAGAGGACATCATGGACTGACTGAGAGAGTCCATGCAAACAGATGAGTCACATATGAGAGATGATGATGTAACAATGCAATGATGTCTTCAAGCAGACTATGGAGCTAACTGGATCAGCAGAGAGGGAGAAAGTGGATTTTTTTTACAAGTTTTTGACCCTCATGTGTTCATTTTGCCAATGACAAGTTACAGTCTCAGGCAGTGGAGAGGCAATGACCTAATTCAGATTAAATGACCTCATACTGATAAGTAGCTGGCCTCCTCACTGGGTGATGGAACATAATCACAAATGGACTCTTATCATCGTGGCTGGAGTGTGTGAGGTTACATGATATTTCTGTGTTTGTGTGGATGGCTGTTTTACTCTACATGTAGCGATGTTGCGGCGTGGACTCTTAGCCTGGGTCTCCCGTGTTGGAGGTGTGCTGGTGCTCCTCTGCTGCTCCCTGTCGCTACTCTATGTGATGACCTGTAGTCCGCCACACTCTGATGATCCTCCTTCAAGTCATGCTCTGCCCCGCGCTGGACCCATCCACCCCAGTCTGGGGGGCACAGGACCAGGTATCGGAGCAGGAGCAGGTGGGACCGGAGGAGCCCGAGCTGGGGCTGCTCAAAGCGGTGGACCCCCCGGCGTCCAATCTTATCAGGTGCTCCTCCAAGAGCGCGAGGAGCAGCACCGCCTCCACATCTCCTCCTTGAAGAAGCAGATAGCTCAGCTCAAGGAGGCTTTGCAGGAGCGTAGCCAGCAGCTGAAAGGAGTGCAGGAGAGCCTGAAGAGAGCTGCCGGAGGTCCAGCAGTGGGACAGGAAGCTGGGGCTGGTTCGCAGGGTGGTGGTCTCGGGGAGGCTCAAGGTCCCAAGAGCCAGCAGACGGACCTCCAGGAGTTCCTGCGGAGCCAGATGTCGAAAGCCGAGGTGAGCGCCGGCACCAGGCTGCCCAGTGAGTATGCGGTGGTGGCCTTTGAGAGTTTCACCCTGCAGAGGGTGTACCAGCTGGAGATGGGGCTGACGCGTCACCCAGAGGAGAAACCTGTGAGGAAGGACAAGAGAGAGGAGCTGGGGGAGGTGCTGGAGATGGCCCTGCACAGTCTCAACACGCCGTCATCCCAGCAAGACAGCAGGATTGCAGCAGAAAAGTCTCAAACAAGCAAAGTGTACTCAATGTCTGACTTCATAGAAGGTGAGAACACATCAGATGTCTTTTGTGTCAAATTACTTTTATTTACAACTTATTTGCAATTATGTTTTCAAAGAAATCCAAAGCCGCCTGGATTACGTTTTCTGAACTTTTGTATGGTAATATTTAGGCAGTGGTCGCACTTGGACTTGGACTTAAGGATTTGGGATCATAACAGAAAAATAGAAGAAAAAACATATTAATTAACATTTAACTGAAACAAAGAGCTTTCCCTAAGTTTAAAATTTAACCATCACAAGATGCACCGGCCAATCAGTGTGCATTTGGAAAATACAGATGTTTATGTGCGGCTGTCTTGTAGGTAACAATGTAACATTTGCCATCACAACATAATTGGGAAAACAAATTAACAGTATTTAAACTTCCTGGCCGCAAAGTTGCATATTAACAACATTCTTGCTACATCCAAACATTATACTCCACTTTATTCTTCAACTCTGTGTAATTTAGATTTTTTTTTTGTGTACGTGTATGCATGCATGGATTCCTGCAAGGTCAGAAATATAGTTTGTTTGTGTACAAGTACAGCCAGGATATCCTCCTAGTTTGTTCTGCTCAGCCTTGATCACAACCTCACAAAATGAACCCAGCTGCTCCTTATTCACATGGAGCATCTTTTTCAAACGCAGTATTTTGTGTGTGTGTGTGTGTGTGTGTGTGTGTGTGTGTGTGTGTGTGTGTGTGTGTGTGTGTGTGTGTGTGTGTGTGTGTGTATCTGCTCTTTGAAGGTCACCACCTTCAGTGTGTGAGTGGGTGGAGGTTTTAAAGTGAGTAATAGGGGCACCTGGCTTGGAAGAAATGAGCCATAGGTCACTACGGAGCCTCTTGCATGTGTATGAGCTTGTGTGTGGTCCTGTGTAATCCATGTGTGTGTTTATGTGACGGTGATTTTAATAGATGTGCATAGATATCTGTGTGTATTCACATTAACAGCTTGTACAAGTCCTCAACAAGACAACAGGACTGTGCAGTCAGTAATGAAATAGTGTCTCCGTCCTGCTCATATTTTGCTTTTAATACTCCTTAATGGACATTGATTTTAAGCAAATCTTGAATAAGCAGGGATTTATCCAACCAGCCAGATGAGTGAAAGGCAATCTAGATTGCCAGACTGACAAAAGCATCTTCGGGGAGCTTTCAGGGCTGCATTAGCAAGCTAGTGAGCTGAAACTGCACACAAACAGTGGAGGTATGCAAAACGAACTCACCAACCGCTTAGTCCTTAGAAAGGGACAGAAAAGTGCAGTTAGACAGAAAGACAGAGACAGGAAGTGAAGGCATTTAGTCTAAATTGTTCAGCATATTTACTAAATGAAAGCTTATCGTGCCCCTCTGGGAAATGAGGCCTCCCATCACAGGAAGCTGCCCCACTTAACAGGAAGGCCTTCATTTCAAGCTGCTATCTGACTATAAATCTTTGCCCACAGACATCTTTCTGTTCTCTCATCATTTTCTGACTTGCTCTTCACTTTCTTTTTATTCTTTATTTCCTTCGTCTATCTGCCTGTCTCTATGCTCTTTTTCTGTCGTCCAAGCTCTCTTTGAACACAATGTCTCGTTCTCTGCCTTCCTCTCCATGTCTGTTTCTTTTCTCTCTTTTCACTTCTCACTTTATGTGTTCTAGTTCCCTTTTCTTTATGACCCCAACAACCACAGTACGTCTATTTGCAAGTAATATTCCTTATAATAGCAGAGTAATACACAAACAAATTCTCTCTTGAGGAACAAGAAAATTGGTCTGGATAACCAGAATTGCCTCTCTTTCAGTGTATGTGTGTTGTTGGTGTTTTTATGTGTATGAACAGTTATGGCTCTTTGCCCAGCAGCAGACTGCATGAACAATGTCTCATGTGGCCTCATGTGCTCTCTGTTTTTCCCCACATACACACAGTATTAGTCTGTCACAGAGAATTGTGCACAGAGAAATAATGATAAAGCTGGTGCAAAAAATGTCCCCTTAAAAAATGTTTATTTTTCAGAGAAATTTCTAAGATTAGATAGTAAAAAACTCACTAACTAAGGGAAAAACATGATCCTTAGCACAGAAATCTCAAGGGATTTAAACAAAAGCCGCACCCTGGAGAAAACAAGAAAAACAAATTCACTGCGACAAAGAAAGAAAGAAAGAAAGAAAGAAAGAAAGAAAGAAAGAAAAACTACAGGCACAGAAACTAACACTCACTGGTTTTCACCTGCGTTCATACATCTTTGTAAGTCAATATGTTGATATGTAACGTTAATTTACATCATATTATTTCCCCAGAGTTGCTAGAACTTCAATAATTGTAAATGTTTATTTACAGCTATAAGATTTCTAGGTTCTTGCAGAGAGTTAAATGGGAAGATTAATACCACTCTTATGTCTGTCTGTAATATATCTTAGTCAGGAGACCATTAGCTTAGCTTAGCATAAAAAGTGGAAGCAGGTAGAAAGAGCAGGCCTGACTAACCAGCACAAAAAATAATACACAGAGGCAGATTTATAAGGGGGCACATAACCCCCCATAAAACCCACAAATGATTGTTTTTACTTGGCTCTATAAATGTTGGTCGGTCCGCCTCTTTGGTACTGACTGAAATATCTCAACTAGAGATAAAAGACGTCCTCTGTCCCCAGATGATGAATCTGTCCTCCTTTTCCTATAGTGCCATTTTTGGCTCTTTATGAAATCTATTGGATGCATTGCCAAAGTATATTTGTTAGAGACACACATGCCCTCAGGAGGATTTGTAATGAATTGGATGATCCCTTAACATTTCATATAGCACCATCATCAGGTCAGAATGTGATAATACTTTGGTTTAAGACTAAATATCTGCAAATCTAATGACATTCCCATCAGTCCCAGCTGTACATTGTGTTTGGCACCAATTAGCAAATGTTAGGATGTTAACAGGCTAAACTTGTGATTATTGATATTATACCTGCTTACAATAACATGGTAGCATTTAGCTCAAAGCATTACAGTGTCACAGAGCTGCTAACATGACCATAGATTCTTCAAACAGAGCCGGGCTAGCTGTTTCCACCTGCTCTCAGTCTTTATGCTGAGTAAGGTAAGTGTATGCTGGCTGTAGTTTCATATTTAAGTAGTATTAATCTTCCCATCTAACTGTCAGCAGGAAATCAAAAAATCATGGTCCTTTAAACAGGTGTATATACTGAATATTACTGTTATACATACATTTAGCTGCTGATTATCACAAAAACTAAATCTTAAGTTTGTTTGGTCGTGAGTTTATGTCTGTTTGTCTCACCCATCAGGTATCACCCGCACAGAGAGGGACAAAGGGACGCTGTACGAGCTGACCTTCAGGGGGGAGTCAAGCAATGAATTCAGGCGTCTGGTCCTCTTTCGTCCCTTTGGACCACTGATGAAGGTGAAAAACGAGCGGGTGGACACAGTCAATGTCCCGATCAACATCATTGTCCCGCTGTCCAGACGCACAGACAAGTTCAAACAGTTCATGCATAATTTCAGGTGAGACTTTTCCTTTTCTGAAAATGTTGACGTGTTTATTCTGGTTTGAGCTGTTGCAGTCTCACACAATGGATGTGACATAAACAGAAGCGCCACAGTAAATTATGGAAGACGATTCTTTGTGTCACACATAACTAATTCAGGAAAACGTGATACGCTGTTTTTCAAACCCAGTTTTAATTCCAGTTTTACATTTTAATTGGGCAGACAGGGACAAGGAGTGGGAGAGATTAGAGGAAAGAGGCGTTTTTTTCCCTTTTTTTGAAGGAACATATGATTAACATTTTCAAACTGCACATGTAGTCTCATCAGTTATTTTATTTTGGTGCTCGTCGGCATAATCAGAATGTAAACAAATCTGAGCGAGGCTTAAATGATTCAGACAAAAATATGAAAAAAGATGCAGTTACTGATCCCAGTTCAGTTTTTCTCAGTCACCACATGCCCGCAGGAAATGTAATTTCATACATACTTTTAATCAGCATCTCAAATACCACAAATAGTTCCAGGCTAGTGTCTCTATGTGGTAAAACCATGAAGAATTTTTGATAAAGCCAACTTTGAAGGGAAGCCAAATCTCATCAGCTAACAGTAAAGAGTGCCTGTTCCAGCTCCACAGTCCGTCATCGTCAGTTGAGGAAACATCCGCCTTAATGTCTGTGATTTATTGTGCTGCCGCCGCTGCTTATCACAGCTCTTTTTACATGGTAAATCCTGCTTAGTAGCAGTGTTGCAGCCCATTAAAATGCCCCCCTGGGCAGACCAGCAGTAGTTGATATACAGCATGGCAAGAAGTGTACTTACTTGAAAGACTTGGCAAGTCGCTGAGCAAACACTACTACCCTCATCCATATTAAAGGTGTACCAGGAGAAATTGTATGTTGTGGGGGTGTGTGTGTGTGTGTGTGTGTGTGTGTGTGTGTGTGTGTGTGTGTGTGTGTTTAGGATATGATAACATTGAGTAACTGTATATTTATCAAATATTCTTTATTCACATTCACAACAGCATTTATGATGCACTGTGATATGTTTCCCAAGTGCAGAATATAGAGATAAAACATGGATTCATACAAACACAAACGAACATTGCAAACAAGCACAATATTTCTCTTACTACATGATGAAATAATTGTAACTCTTTTTTTCTACCTTGGAGTCCCAGTGACAAAATGAAGAATGTCTCATCAGATCCCAGCAAAAAATCAATTACTACTAATAATGCCGGCATTTAGAGAAAGGCTTAACCACAACGGCATCTACAATGAAAAATCGTATTATTCATGGCTACTCAGTATCCTCTGCACGTATTTAGTCATTTTTAAGCATCTTGTATTCATCTGTTTTATGAGACATTTTCCTTCCATGTGTTTCTGGGGAAAATTCTGACAAATGTGTGTGTGCTGTTGGAGAGGAGGTGAATTATATTCAGCATGTGTGTGATGTATTTGACATGTTTCCATCAAAGTGCCTGCAGGCATCTCCCACCTGGTCTCTCTTTCACTCGCACACAATCTCTCCCTGTGCTTTAACATAGAGTCAGAATGAGAAGAGCCAGGATTAATAGCTGAAAATAAAGATTATTTTCATAAGACATTAAAATGTCTATTATTTTTGTTAATTCATCAGTGAATCCTTTAGTCTATAAATGTCAGGGAATAGTGAAAAAATAACATTAGAATCTCCCAGATCCAAAGGTCTTTTTAATGCACGTTTTGTCTAACTAACAGCCCAAACCCCAAAAAGATCAAATTCACAGTGAAAAGAAGCATTCAGGAGCTGAAACCAGCAAATGCTTGACATTTTTTCTTAATGAATGTTAATCATTTATCTATAAATTATCTGAATTGTTATTGGACTAATCATTCCACCACTTCAAAGAATAAAACAGCAATACACCAAATCCTTCTTTTTAAAAACTCTAATTTGACCACAGAGCTCTTCCTTCCTGTAATTCAACCCTGCTCAGTTTGAGATCGCTTTCATCCATAATGTCTCTTCCTCTGTGTGTTTGTGTGTACGTAAAGGGAAGTCTGTGTGCGCCAGGACGGCCGGGTCCATCTGACGGTGGTGTATTTTGGGAAAGAGCAGATGAGCGAAGTCCGCAGCACTCTGGAGAACACGTCCAGGTGGGTTGAAACCACAGCCAAGATCAGATCTTTGAATTGGAGGCCAAACACAGAATATGGAAGGCAATATGTGTAATGAAATGAACGCTACCGCAGTCATGCACCCGCTCTCAGAAGCAGACGCTGTAAAAATATTTTTTACACACACACCAGAAACCTCTCTTTTTCACATTCTGTAATCTCTCTCTCACGACACACACACAAAACACACACACCTCCTGGCTCGGCGTCCTGCCACAGCCAGTCATCTGTCTGATGAATAATGGAGCAGTGTGCCACCCACACTGAGGAGCTGAGAGCTACCAGCCAACACAGATAAATTACAACAGACCTGTGATCATCCCTGACTCATGCTAAACCTCTCACATGGGCCTCGACACCCACACCTCTGGAGACGATCGCCGTCGGCTCATCAGAAGTCAGATCTACTGTGGATTGAGCCACAGATTCCCTGAGGGGGTTGCTATGGTGATTCTTGTCGATTCCCAGCCCCGAAGGTTTTTGTGTGGCCTTGAATCAGTTGGATCTCTGGTATCACACAGCGTCTCTTTGTCCCTCTGTGTCTCTCCCTGCTGCTGTCGCTGAGGGGAACTGTGAAGATAAAAAAGGCAGCGTTAAATACACTTGGAGTGAAGTGTAAAGAATGCAAAATCATGTGAACATATAACAGGCCTGTAATAATATAGTTTTTAGTGTGGAAGAGTTCTTAAAGGAGTGAGTGAGAAGGTTTGTGAGAGATCACACTGAATGAAAAGCAGTTGGAGCAGAGGTAAGTGGAGGTACAGCCAGAGTGTTGGATTAAGTACAGTGTAATTTTTCTCTCTGAGCAGCAGCAGCTCTGACTTGAACTCTTTTAGGCTTTTTGTATTCTTCTCACAGCCTAACAATGCATTCATCAGTTTTGGAGCAGCTTATCTGGGTCTGAATCAGTGGCTGTAATCAACTCTGTACTGCCCCTTTCTTTATCTGGCTTTCAGACTGTGGTTGAAATGAATAGGGAATCATCATTGGAAGAACTACCTGTGGTTCCATTATCTTCCAGGCAGACACACACATACAGTATAGGCACAGATGCAGTCACAAACTGCATATAGGCTCACAGAGGAAGATGCATGCATGTGTGTGCAGTTGTTTTGCAACTGAGCATTATCTTTACCAAGATAACTATTGATTTATTTTGATGAATAAGTTGTTTAGTCTATAAAATAATGAAAGCAGCGAGTTGCCCCGAGTGTGTGGAGTTGAGAAAGTTGGCAGGGTTTAAACTTCTCTGTCTACTGTAGACTATGCACTATTTTTCAATTTTTCCACATCACTTGCAACACTATGAATACCTTCCAGGAGAGACCGAAAATGTGTCCCGGTATCCCCATTTATAAAATATATTGTAACTCGCTCCATGTGTGAGTGTGGCCATTTGGCACAGCTATATACACTTTTTGTCCTCAGATGTGGTCAGACAACATGTCGCACAAACTAGTTCTTTTAGAACCCGACCCTCAGGCACAGCAGTGCTTTGAGCTAATGCTAATGTCAGCAAGCTGACACACATACAATCGCAGGCATAACATGCTGATGTGAAGGTGTAATGTGTACAGTTTAGCAAGTTAGCATGTCAACACGAACTAGAACTAAATACTGGCTTGTCATAAACCAAAGTATCGGACATATTAAAATTCTGACGTGATGATGATTCGAGAGGAAACATTAGGGGATCGCCAAAGTTATGACCATTCATCCTCTGGGGAACATCCATATTTCATGGCAATATTCCAATAGTTTTCAATACATTTCACTAAAATCCTCAAATGTGGACTTTATGGTGGCGTTAAAGGAAAAGTCAGGGGATCACCAAAGTCTTTAGGATACATTATCTGGACATATCAAATGTTTGTGCAAATCCATCTGGTAGATGTTGAGACATTTCACTGGATAAGTGAAAACTTTGACATCCTGGTGGCACTAGAGGAAATTCAAATTCATTAGGACACATCCTCATGAATGTCTGTATCAAATTTCATGGTAATCCATCCAGTAGTTGTTGAGATATTTCAGTATGAACCAAAGTGATGGAGCAACCAACGGACTGACACACAAACCGACGCTGTCATCCCTTGAGCCATGCCCCTATCATGGCTAAAAGCAAAGCACAAACCAATCCATTTTGGGTAATTTCACGTGATAAATGGCTTTGAATTAATCAATTATCACAATTGTCACACTAATTGACTTAACTGCCCACATGCATGCAAATACTAACAAATGCTCTTAAACTAATTCCAATTTTAACCCTAAAAACCAAACCTTAAAAGGAGAGTCGATCACCCAACATGTCCTCACTCTGAAGGTCTGAAACTCAAATTGATTAACACAAAGAAACAGTTCAAGTGCATGTACACACACACATACACACACACCTTCACTCACAAACAAGTCAATATCTGTTCCCAGCAGTGATGGCATCATTAGTGGCTGATCTGATTCTACATTGCCCTTCCTACAAATTAAATTCACCTTTAGAAAGTGGTTTGATTTGTGTCTACTCCCAAACAACCTCTAGCTATTTGTCTTTTTTTTTTTTTTTTTAAATCACATACACTGCACAGTGTCCCTGCACCAATTCTTCCAAGAAAGATTATCAACAGCCAATATAAACCACTTGAGGCTAACAAGATCTAAGTTGTCCCAGATCTCCACAAGCTTTCTAACCCCAACCAACCCCACTTCAGGAACTGAATGAAGGTAAAAATGCTTTGTCTTTTTTATAGCAGCTGCTAATTATTTAGGTGTATATATCAAAAGCTAACCTGGTTTTACTGTAACAAAAGCCTAAACAAGTAGAATATAGGAGATAGAGGCAATTCTCCAGAAAATCAGAGCCTCAGTCTTCAAGCATTCTGCCAGACACCAGGGATGTTGTTTAAAATAGATAGGATCAGCTGCTGAACTTTCAAGTATATCGCTTACACATCCATACTTCAAAGCTGAAACTCAGGCTCAAGCCATCAGGGGGCATGTAAGTTTCTGAGCCTTACATGCTGAAAAATAATGATTCAAAAGAACGCAAGATAAAGAGGAAGAGATACAAAAAAGGGAAAGGGAGGGAGATTGTGTATAAAGTAGGGAGAAGAATGAGTGATCTGTTTAAAAAGATACCAGTCAATACACATGAATAAGTACTGTGCTTCAGACGCAGAGGAGAGACGATGTCTGAGGGCGAAAACAGTGAGAACGGAAGTTAGAGGAGAGTTGTGAAGATAAGATGGGAGAGCAAAGCTAAGTTGAAAAAAAAAAAGACAGATTTTCCGAGAATGGAAGAAGAGCATCGTATCAAAAGGAAGTAGTACGTTAAGATGAAAGCGAGGGATCAGGCATTTGGACAGATAGAGAAACAAAGGATGAGATCATTCTGTCACTCATTCAGCTCCAACCTTTACCTCATCTTTCTCTCTGCAACAACCTCTTCAATAAGCCTTTCATGTTACTGGAGCATTTGATTCAGTTCGCAGACAGGTCAACAACTCTCCCAAGAGCCTTTTGACTAGACGAGAGAAGATAATGTCGACAAGAAGGTGACTGAGAGAAGATTATGAGCGGAATAAAATGATAAACAAATCTTAGAAGAGTTTCAAAAGCCATTTCACAGATCGTCAATACAGGCCCATTCTGTAAATTACTCACTGTTGATAACGCGTGTGGCTTTCTTGCCTGAGGGCTGAGCCTGAGCGTGATCACAACAAGTCTACATTTTTTATAGCTTGCACTTACCTTTCCATTACATGCACAGAACGTTGATTGCCCAACTCACTGTAAAACACTTTTCCTTCTGCACAATAGCCCAGAGAGCATATACCAGCATGCCTGCTCTGTAAACAGTAGACATTTGATGGACAAGCAGGGAAAAAATGCGTTGTTTAAAAGTTATTGCTGGCATTACAAACTCAGGTTGGTGACGTCATGGGGGTCACCTAAGTAATTAGGGCTTACCCTCTGGGGAAAATGAACGTTTGTACGAAATGTCATGGAAATCCATCTAATGGCTATTGAGATTTTTCTGTCTGGACCAGCCAACTGACCAACATGTCCATCCCCTGAGCAATGCCGCTAGCATGGCTAAAAAGCAAGAATGCTTCAGTGAGAAACGTGTTTAGACTAAAAAGAGGCCTGGATATGGCAACATATAGGGGCTTACATTTAAGACTTTTCACATTCAGTAAGCACCGTGTCTGTAGGCAGTCCTCTAAGCTATAACCACACACAAGCAAATACATATAAATGGTTAGACAGAGGCACAGATTCACAGAGAAAGAAAGGAGACACAGTAAATCTGGTCTTCCCTCCTTGTCCTGAGCAGAACCAACAGGATCAGGGCTGCTGCTGAGACACAACATGACAGCTCTTTAAGGGCTTCCCACTCTGACACAATTCCAACAATTTAGCCCATACTAGGTACCAGCCCACAGTAAACAAATTGACTATTTTAGACCATAATAAGGGTGCTGATGCCTGAGGGGATGAGGGAAGAAAAAGAGCACAGTATAAAAACTAATTTAGAAAACAAGGATATCACAGGGCTTAAGTGGACTTTTCCACTTGACACAGTTGTGCATGTGTTTATATTTTGGGGCTTGTATTTTAGAGACTCAGAAAATGGGTTAGTGGACACAAAAAGGATTTGAGAAATATTTAAGCAGCTAATGTACTCAGGCCAGCAAACACAACATACACTTACCAGGATGAATAATATGTCAACTTTGGCTTTCAGGAAATAGAGACAATTACATCTTCAGTAATCAGGAAAATATATTTATTTATGACTAAATGTCTGTAAATACATACAGCTGAATTTGGAAATCATTGTAGGAGATTTGCACACTTAATATGAAGCTACCGTTGGCTTAGCTTAGCATGAAGGGAAACACCTGTCCAGAGTCTGTCCAGAGGTATCGAACTCCATCCAAAAAGGGACTCTATATGGGGTGAATATCATGCCATATTTCAAAACTGAAAAACATCTTTGAAAGGTTCAAACTCAGTGTTTGAGAGCTTGAAATCTAATAAAAAATGTTTTCAAAATGTAAGTTTGGAAGGCTTGCATAATGTTTTGAAAGGCTAAAAAAAAAAAATTGAATCTATTCAAGCATTATTTTGTTGTCCTTCTTCACAACAGCAGCAGTCGTTTTACAGTGTTGCTCCAACATAGATGCATAGTGTTTAAAATGTGTCACTCCCGGTGTATTAGTTTGTTTTGTATTAGAAGTTTTTAAACCTTTGCAAATTGCGATCTGGTGCACATATGTTGGTGGCAGAGTTCTGAAATGTTGAAACTTGAATTTCGAAATGGCAAATCTTTATTTTGAAACATTTGCAGACGTACGTTTGCACTCGTATGGCCGACTGTGAGTTTACCACATCCACTTTTCAGAGATCTTAACATATTTGTGAGGTTGTGAGTCGTAGAGTAAACTTTATTGTCCCCAAGGGGAAATTTGTTTTGCTACATGTGAGTTCTGGCAGCTCAGACACAATCACGTAAAAGCCCTCACTGAGCTCTGCTGATATGTAAAACAAGGCTCCAAGAAGACCAGAAATCTGTTTTCAAGGAGTAACTCAATCATTTTGGGAACTACACTTATTCTCTTTCTTGCTAGATTGTCAATCTCATGCCTGTATTGTAGATAAATATGAAGCCACAATCAGTAGCTAGTTAACTTAGCTTAGCTTGAAGACTGAAAGAGGGGAAAGAACTAGCTTTACTTGTGCAAATAGTCCAACACAGAAAGTATTACTTAAAACAAAAGAGGTCATGATATTTTTGCTCCAACAAAATACAAAATCTCAATTTTCTCTTTTGATAATATTCAAGAAATAAACAACATATTTGCTTCTCCACTCACTGAGACGGTCCTTTTGAAAGACAGTTTTCTCTTTATCTCTGACAAATGAGTTTCCCGCTCCATTAAAGTTGAGACTGAATCAACATGTGAATGTAGCTGCTTTTGCATTAACATTGAGACAAACAAACAGAGCTATTGTGCTCAGTCTCTACCATCTGTGGACAGTTTAGTGCCAGCGGGTTGGTCAACCTCTCCGGGGACTCTGTGTAGACTGAAACAGATCGACTCTGTTTGGATTCATAAACTGTAGACAGACGTGGAGACGGTCAGCAGACGTTTTGACTGACAGCAAGTAAACACATATGGATAGGTACATAAGGACATCTTGTAATTGTTCCTGATATTTTACTTATTCCTTAACTTTGCTGGCCCAGTTGTTATTCAGACAGACAAATAAGACACTCATAATAGGTGTCATGTTTATGTTTCTCTGGGATTTACGGCTATTCTGACCAAGTTTAAAAGGTTTTATTATGTCTTATTCATGGGAGAGGCTGAAAGGATGGACAAAAGCTTTTACGCAGTAATACACATGAATAGATGTGCAGATACACATTATTCACAGACATCTACACTCACACACACAGCAGTTAGATGGAAATGTGGGAAGCATGATTCAAGCGGCCTCTGGCAAAAACAAACCGACCGTGTTTCCTCTGGTCATCCTGGTTTCCTGTAACAAAGCTGTGTATGTCTGCCTCTGTCCACCTGCTCTCTCTCTCTCTTTGCTGTTTCACACGTGCCATGTCACCAGACATCACATGAACGAAGGAGGAGGTTAGATCCTGTTTGTTCTACCTCGGACAGAGAACCAGTTTTTCCTCAGTATCTTCTATCCGAAGTCGATGCAAGTTTGTGTCTGTGTGTCTCAGTCTGTGTATATGCATGCATGAGCAAAGGATTAGTCACTAACAGTGTGAATTGTTATGGTTAAGCAAAAAGCCACAGCTGTGTACATCTGGATCCAGCTGTTTCTCTTTACTCTCACCACATCCTTGGAAAACAGGCCACTGATGGAGGACGCTTTGTTGTCCCAGTTAATTCTTGTTCACATCATGACCGGAGTCAGAGAGAAAAGACCAGGAGTCGACAAAAAGAAGTCAGTTCACAAAAATGTTGTGCTGATATGAACTTTTGGAAGAAGCTTCGTAAGGTCATTAAAATTTTAAAGGCATAGGAGGAAAAAAACTGTGGATTACCAGGGCCGGATTAACCCACAAGGGAAGCCCAGGGCAAAATTGTACTGTGGGACCCCATTGACCCTCAGATTTCTTGTTCTCTGTTGCCTTTAAGTACCCATTAAATACAGTGCATATGGCAGCTGCATTAGATTTTTTTCCTAGAGTCATAGAAACGATCTGGTACTCCTGTTCATCTGGCCCCATGTGTGCCGTGCTGTGTTTGTTTTTAACCGGTTATGAAACAGCCTCACTTTAATACTGATGCCTTTATGTAACCTACATAAGCACACAAGACCATCAGAGAGAAGATTGGCTATTTCTGTATAAGTATTAGTATTATAAGTATTATAAGGTCAGATTCCCCTTGAAATCAATTAAACAAGGTGGTGGAAACACTACCGCTTTTGTACGCAGGGGTCGCCAAAATCAACAAAAAATGGAAGTTCCTTGTTGCTGCTTTAAGTATTTTGAGGTACTTGAACTGAGCAAGAACTTACTTTAGCTTGAGGAACATATTCTGAGTTAGATAACATTAGTTTAATTAGAATTATTTGGATAGTATTTACACATAAAGCATAAGAACAGACCATATTTATTAGGTGTTATTAAGAGAGAGTGACTATTTTTGTGGTACTAATACCTTATAAGGCCCATGGAGAGAAAAGCAAATTAAGGTAATTTTCATGTATAACTTCCTTACTTACTGTCAATAAGCAGTAATTAGGAGGTTGTTGAGGGACAACTTAATGGCCTAGTAGTTGCAGAATATGGTCATGGAGAATAAGGCATTAATACATGCTTATAAAAGTCATGCTACTTATATGTATGCTAACAAGCAACTAGTTAATGCTGATTATGTGTACCTTAATATAAAGTGTTACCATATTCTCTTTCCAGTTCACCAAGGAGAGTTTGAATTTTTGTATATGAATAAATTCTGCAGAAAATGTGACCACCATCATCACCGCCGCTCTCGTTCGCCTCTGTGTCTCTGCAGGGAAGTTAATTTTAAGAACTACACTCTGCTACAGCTGGACGAGGAGTTTTCTCGGGGACGGGGTCTCGACGTCGGGGCCCGAGCCTGGAAGGGCGGCAACGTGCTGCTTTTCTTCTGTGACGTGGACATCTACTTCACCGCTGACTTCCTCAACACCTGTCGACTCAACACGCAGCCCGGTGAGACAATGTGGACAGCTCCTTTTAACATGTAAAAGATTAAAAGGGTTAACAAATATCAACAAGGTATTTATGACTAGTTAAAACTTTAAATTAAGGTATCTACAATTACATTTCAATGCATGTGTTTGCAGATATCTTTCATCATCATTCTGACTAGTCACTATGCATTTGTAGATATGTAAAACGTCATTAGGGAGAGTTAAATAGACCTTTTTATGTTAAACAGCTTCCACAAATACAATTTTTAAGGATGTCCGTAGCTCCTTTGTTGATATCTTAAAGGGAATTGTAGCTATAATAACTCAAATTTGAGATATTTCCAGTTTAGTTTTGACTGGTTGTACTTCCAGGTTCAGTAATATATTAGATTGTGATATCCAAAAAGATCTCCTTAAAAGGGCTAAATTAAAGATATCTTTAATCGAAATTATGAAAAACCACTTTCAAGATATCCCCAATTTAAGTTGGTTAGTTTAAATGGAAATATCTTAAATTCACATTTAAGATATTAATTTTTAATTAATTTAATTCTGGACATTTCTAATTAGATTTTACATACAATTCAGTAATTCCTTCATGCTTGCCAGAATATAGATATCTGAAATTCAGATTTTGTCAAAATGTAATTACAAATATCTTGATTTAAGGTTTTGACTAGTCATAAATACATTGTGACAATGTGAATCCTGTCAGTCTAATAAATGATAAAACATCATGGTGATTTCTGACCATTCAAAATCCATTCGGAGATCCAGTCAAACTGTTGTCATGGCGATGATGAGGTGAAACATATTAGATGTTAAAAGGGCCTGTGATACAAACACACACCTTCCCATCAAATCACTGCCTAGCTGTCTGACAACGCCATCTCGCTCCTTCTCAGGTAAAAAGGTGTTCTACCCGGTGTTATTCAGCCAGTACAACCCCACTCTCATCTACGGCGGTCCCGAACACATCCCACCTGTGGAGCAACAGCTGGTAACACACACCTATCAAATCTATCCTCTTCCTCTCCTTTTTTTTCAAACACTCTGCTGGAAAATATCGTACTCGGTGCTGTGCCACATTGCCGGAAGGTTCAGAAATATTTCCCCTGTCCACAGCTGCATAAATCCGCAGAAGCTTGCTCCTGTTGAAGTGCCTCCCGTGTGTGCAGAGCTGATATATTTCTGTTCATAAGCTCTCTAAGAATTTAAATTATTTTTCTCTGCAGGTGATCAAGAAAGACACAGGGTTCTGGAGGGACTTTGGGTTCGGCATGACCTGCCAATACAGGTCCGACTTCATCAACATAGGTAAATATTACAGAACAACAACATTTACAACACAACATGCACCGCAGTCATACCCACCACAACATCTTAGCAATGCAGGAATTTATAAACAGTTGCTCTTGGGGGTTGATTATCTGTGCAGAGGTTACATAACGCAGGGTAAAAATGGGCTTCCTGGATGGCTACCAAAATACGCTATGTTAATGGTGCCATAGCTTAATGGATTTGAAAAACATCAGAGCACAAACAGTTCAATATTACATTACTGTTCTTAACTGGGAGGAGATTTTATTATATTACTCTGCATGAAACAGCTCTGAGCTGCAGCATATATTAGCATATCTCATAGCACCATGCCCTCTCCATCTGTATATTAGGTGAGGAATATTGGCTCTCAAGACAGATTTACATCAATTTAGTTTGCCTCCAAAGAGAAATCAATTAAAGGCTGCAGTGAAATTCAAAGTGGTTTATTGTTTAGGGCAGACGCACACACAAGAATGCAAATTCTCTCTGCTGCTGAAATGTTAAACAAGGCTCAGAGACGGTCGGAAATCAGGTTTAAAAGAATAGTCTGATATTTTAAGAAGTCACACTTATCCACTTGTTTGCCAAGAGTTATATGCAAGTACATGCATTTATGTATGCAACTATGTATGTATATAATGATTATGTAGTATGATGATGATGATGATGACGGCAATACAATGATGGGGAATGATGAATAATAATAATGATGATGATACTATTAATAAGAATAAGAATAAGTATAAGTATAAGAATAAGAATAAGAGTAAGAATACTATCAGTAATATTGGCAGTGGGGGTCAAGCAGGGCCACGGCAGCAGGCACAACCACCATCCATGGTGACCCTCAAGTCCCCCTAACCATGATCTGTCCCTTAACGTAACCGAGTTGTTTTTGTGCCTAAACCTAACCAAACCTTAGGCACAGTGACAGCAATAGACAGATTATTTTTGAAATGCTGATTTGTAATGGTGGTGGAAGTCACTGACAAATGATGCTGTCATGTCAATAGTGGCATCGGTATAGAAAACGCTTGTATCTGTCATGGAAAAACAAAGTACTTTGCCATTTAAGTGGGAGGACTTGTTGTGTATTATAGATTTACAGGAGGTTACGTGAGACAGTTTCTTGGCCAGGAGCAGAGACATCCTGTGCAACCACAACTTATTGTGTGTGCACTTTTGTACGGATTAAACAAACAAGATATAACTGTTTGCTATAATATTAAATAGTGAATTAACCTGTTTCCAGTCTAAGCTAACCAGCTGCTGGTTGCAGCTTTGTATTTACATACAGACATATCAACGTTTTCATCTAACTCATGAAAAGAAGTTACCCCCAAAATGGCCAACTATTGCTTTAAAAGTGAAATCAAGTTGTGCAGTGTTAGTTTCTTCAGAAATTACAGTGCAATATGTTATTTAGGTCATGCACACAAACAAATGAACAATTTATCTGTTGGGTTTAAAATTCCTGTCTTATCTCTGTTTAGCCCTGGAGCAGGAGTTAAAAAAGGGACAGAAACAGACAGAATAATCAAAATATAACTGCTGACAGACAGAAACCATGAGCAGAAGCAGACGTACGTAGTTCAGTCTAAAAGATACAGGTATAAACATGCCTGGTCAAGACCTGTTTTGCAGTGCACAGCCCCCCCCATGAAACAACAAATCAGGCCATGAAAAGAGAAAACTGATTATGATCACATACTGCAGACTCTAATCAGGATTCATAATCAGCACCCTTTTAAGAGGTAGTGAACGCAGTACTGAAACATTTAATTGCTTAGAAATGTTTGCATATCAAAAGGGTGTTTTGGTTTTTTTTTTTATACATAACAACACATCCTATGATGGTGTAATGAAGTTTTTTATTATACTATGTTCAGTTCAGGTTTGCTGTGCATCCTGGCTCACAAACACAGAGCAGATCTGAGTCGACCATGAGACAGTATGTAAATGGTAGTGTCTGATCAGGCAGTCTCCAGATGTTACATGATTACCATTAGGACCAAAAGGAAGTAAAACAAAAGGCAGAAATCCAACAGAATGTGATTACCGATGGAAATAGAAAGGCAGGAAAGGGGGGTCAATTGCACCTAAAAGGTAAAATTAGCCAGGGGGAAGGAGACAGGGTAGATCAAGGTGAATACAACAGAATCAAGGAACCAAACCAGTAGGGGGCTGGAAAGCTGCTCCTAGATAACACTTGGTCATCATGTCAGTACTGTCTAAATGTAAATTTTCTTCATTCCCCTTCTGCTGTTTTCAGGAGGGTTTGACATCGACATCAAAGGCTGGGGGGGCGAAGATGTCCACCTGTACAGAAAGTACCTCCATAGCAACCTCCTAGTGGTCCGAGCACCGTCAAGAGGTTTGTTCCACCTGTGGCATGAGAAACACTGCGCCGATGAGCTCCCTCCAGACCAGTACCGCATGTGCATGCAGTCCAAGGCCATGAACGAGGCCTCGCACGGCCAGCTGGGGATGCTGTTCTTCAGACACGAGATTGAAGCTCACCTCCGCAAACAGAAACAACAGCAAAACTCGAACCCCAAGAAGACATAAAGGCTGGTTGAGTTACAATAAGCACAACGACTACAATCAGTTAAGAAATAGTTTGGGGAATGCTACATAATTTGGGAAAATGTGCTTGTTTGCTTGGTTGCCAAGAGTTAGATGAGCAGACCGATGCCACTCTCATCTCTGTACACTGAATATGGAGCTAGGGCCGGCACATGATTAGCTTAATTTAACATAAAGACTGGAAACGGGACGAAAGAGCTCGCCTGGCTCTGTCAAAGCTATCTTATTCATACAAAACATTTTTGTGGTTTTGTGGTTTCCTGTCTCTATGCAGAGCTAAAATAAACCTTCCATATTTAACATATAGAGATAAGAGACATGCTGCTGCTGCTAAGAGACAGGAAGTGGAGGTAAACGGTTAACCAGCCTCTGTAAAAAAAAAAAAACAAGACAAATGTGTTAATTTATGAGCATTAGAAGTGCTAGTAGGTGGATTTTTCCTCTTTAGACAGAGACAATTTAGTTTTCTTCCCCCTGCTTCTAGTCTTTATGCTAAGCTAACCCTCTCCTCTCGTACAGATATAAAACTGGCATCAACACTCAGCAAAAAAAAATAATAACAAACAGCCATATTTCCCAAAATGTCGAACTGTTCCTTTAATGAAAAAAATGTGAAGACCTTTTTACTTTTCAAGAACTCAGAGCACTTTGTTGCTCTAGAAAGGACAACATGAAATTAAGATGAATTAAAACTGATTAAACGGCTTGAGGAATTCATCTACAGAACTGGAGTGGACTTTATGATCTCCTGTCTGAAACATCCATCTTTAATTTAAAAGGACCAGTGTGTAGGATTCAGATGACATTGCAGACTGCAACCAATTGAATACAGCTCAGCCATCCGAGCATTTATATAGGAGGAACTACGGTGGCAGAGCCGGTGTATGCTTTGTCTATTCTGGGCTACTGTAGAAATATGGCGGTTCAACATGACGGCCTCCGTGGAAGAGGACCCGCTCCCTCTGTGGATATAAAAGGCTCATTCTAAAGTAACAAACACACAACAGTTCTTATTTTCAGGTGATTATACGCTAATGGAAACATAACCTATGAATATTATACTCCATTTCTGACAATAGATCCTCCTAAATGTTACAGACTGGACCTTTTAATGTCCATTTGTAACTTCCTTTGTAACAGCAACAAGGCCTTTAAGAAAGAAATCAGACAACTTAAGTATGAGCTATGAAGTCTCCGAACCGTGTGCCTTCTGGGAATAAAACCTGAACACTGTCTCGTCAGGCTGGCCAGTGAAAATTGAACCCTACAGGTTTTTATATGTAGGGAAACAGAGCCACCTAGTGGACTGAAAGCGAACAAGACGTTGGCAAATAAACAATGAAGGACTCGTTTTAAGCCTGGAATGGCCTTGTAAAACATATTTTTAAAATAAATTATTGATCAGTAATCCTCATTCCTTGTATTTAAGTTTGTTATTATTTTGTAAATGCCATTTATGAGGATTATGATTTCTGATGCCGTTGTTGCCAGGGCAGTATTATGTGTGGACCATTCACTTTTATGACAAAGTGAGAATGATGAGTCAAAGAAAAACACGCCATGAAAGACAGTATCAGTAGGTATCTGTCAGTAAAATGCTACCTATGAGTATGAGACGTATGTATTTACGCCCAAAATATATCTAAACATAGGTTTATTTATAAATGTTAATTTAAAAGACTAATTTGTGGACACATAACGGATAGATAAAGAAAACAATTACTGACTGACAGTAACACTGTTCACTGTCCTGACATTGACGATGACTTCACATAAGTCAGAGTGAGACTTAATATTTTTCTCAATCAAATGTGACGAGAGAGAAAATGTTGTGTCACGGAAAACTGGAGCTGTTTTAGGTTTAGAGATACACCCGCCTTGGTGGTTATTTTATATTTGTTTTCATATATTTGCCCATAAATCTCATTCCAGCACTTCTTCAGTCAATCAAAGCGAGCTGTACTTTTGGTGGTTGACCATAGATGTGAAAAGAGGCACTTTTTAAATGGTTCTTATTGTTTGCCATTGAAACATTCCTTGTAATAATACATTGAATTACTTTCTTTACAGTTCAAGTTATTTTTTCACTTCATGTAAATGCGTTGAATAAAACATATTTGTGCATTGTGTATATTTTATTATTTATTATGTGTTTGTTTATGTAATGTAAGAAAGATATTACAGAATATTAACGTTTTTTTTTATTTCTTAGCTATCCCATAATAATACACATATTAATACAGTATTATATTGTATATACTTACACGTTTACAACGTTTATTTTCTAAAGTCTGTTTTTATCTCACCTTTTTTTTCCCGATGGATGTTTTTATGTTTTTTATTACGACACTTTTAATCACAGAGTCTTCACCTTTGCAATAAGACAAACAGGGAAAAGCAAGTTATGTGATTGGCTGTGAGAGAACAACAATATTGAACACTTTGGGCCTCCATGCAAAAAGAGCCCTTTTATTTTGTCAAGACAAATTAATAAAACACAGAATCACCATGAGTGCTTAAAACCTCATGTCAGGCTGAAAAAAAACAACAGAAACCAAACTGTGGTCCATTCACACAGGTGTTTTCAATCACTTAGCCTCATTAAACTTTAGTTCTAGTTAAACTCAGATTAAACAGAACGTTTACTTTACATTTTTGCACAAAAACTGGGACTGTGGATCAAAAATTGTTTGAATGTTTTGAATGTGTGTGTAGGGACTTTAGTGTGTGATAGGGATGAGTTCAATGTAGAGCAACATCTTCATCACCTGCAGTTAATCAATGCAATCAACCTCCAACCGCCGCAAAGTCGTGCTTCTACAAACAGGATTGTGTTCAGTTTTAACACATAAAATATAAAAGTGGTGATAAAACTTGCACTGGAGTCACAAATTATTTCAATATATTCCTTATTTTACGTTATATTTCCTACATTCCTGTATCTGAGCAGCTGAGGACTGCCAACGGAGAGACCTCGAGGCTTACAGCGTCAAACATTGTGATGGAGGATCTTTGAGAGATTATTTTGGTTATTTTACCATTTATAATATTATGTCATCGTCAGTAACAGCAGGGACTCTCTCATTATCTCTTGCTGTTTTTATTTTTTTCTTCTTCACATTTTGAAGTTTTCCCAGTGATACAGGCTTGAGGAGGCAATGGGAAGTTGCTGAGTCCTCAAAGTAGTGAGTACTTCAAGCCTGATGATTTTGACAGGACGGGTCAGATTGTCAGGCTTAGAGAGATGGTGCGAAATAAATTCAAATGAACAATCAAACTTGTTTCTTTATTAAAATATAAAATTAATTCATTTATACATTTATCAATATGCCATAGCCTACCATATGTCTTTGTTAAAGAGCATAATACAAAGTCTTTTAGCATGAACGCACGTATTTTTCATAGTGGTGGAGGAAGTACTGAGATCCGTAAAACTTTTTAATACCACAAAACAGAAGTACTCCATTAAAAGTAACAGTTCAACACTGTGCCCTCCAAGTTGATAGTGTTTTCCCAACAACAAACCCTGGGTGACCTCCGAGATTAAGGCCCTATATATCTATATCTATATCTATAGATATAGATATAGATATATAGATGATTAAAAACAACAATAATGATAAACTAGAAGAGACATGATGGGAATTAAACTGTGTGCTAGAATAAATAATGTGTGTGTAGCTTAAGCTCCAAAGCACTAGATGGGGTCAGTGAGCTGATAACAATGTCAGCTGTAATTTCTGTTGACCTACACTCCTCTTTGTTCCTGAAGTGTACATGGTAACTCTAACCACTGATCTTAGACACTGAGGGAATAAAATACAGACAAATCGGTGTTTGCAAACATGATGACATTATATAAGAAATAGATTAAATGTACACATTGGTGTTTTCTCATTATATTTTAATTCAGCACTGATTTGTTATTGGATCAGTGACTTCTGGGAGTTGGTTAACCAGTGGATTATTATTTTTATTATTATTAATAAATAGGAGAATCGGTTTTGGCAGCTTTATTTATTTATTTATTTATTTTACTAATAAAAGGCTGTCAACAGTCAGCTTATATCTACATTTTTAATGATAATTTTTTTAATTATTATTTTACATTTGCATAGCTAGCAGGCTGAGGCACAATCTGTAGAGTATTATATAATATTTGATTAACACATTAGATTTTTATACATTAAAATAAACAAACAAAAATGGCATAACTTCCTGGAGTCGCTGCTGGTTGCGGGGCAACCTTACGTCACAGCGGGACTCCAGGAAGTAACTGCGCCCGGCCGGAAATAGTCCAACCGCACTTAAACCTCCATGACCCCTGCGATGTTTATATACTGGTTAAACAAATAAACAAACAAATAAATAAATAAGGTGTTAATCAGTAAGCTTTAGAGGTGCTTGTAGAGGTATTTTAACAGATATATATTTATTAGAGTGATCCTGTCTCTCTCTCTGGAAGCGATTACTTTCCCTCCAGGATACACGAATAAAAAACTCGTCTTTCCGATGTTTCCTCTGGCACCTGAAGGCGGCACCAGGCCCTCGGAGCTTTCCGGGTCCGTCGGACGGCTTCTGCGCCACCGGGGTTGCACGCAGCTGGAACAGGTGTCCGGGCCAAATGACCGGCAGTCCGGGTGGTAGTGTTTGTTTTATTTAACAGCTTTAACACCATGAGACACACACGGGGTTCTGGGCTCTGCTGCAGTGCACACAACAACAACAACAACAACAACAACAACAGCAGCAGCAGCAGAAGAGAGACGCGTTACTTCTCCTCCTGATTTGCGCTTTCCTGCGACCCGGGCGGTCTGCTGGTTCCTCTGCGGAGGCGTTAACCTTTTATTGAGTTTTTAGCCCATTTGCTGTTGGGATTGTTTTCCTCCCTGCAGCAGGAGAAGCAGAAGCAGCAGCAGCAGCAGCAGCGACGTCCCGAGGAGGAGCATCCCCCTGGTGTTTATTATAGGAGAGGAGGACGCAGCACAAACCAGGGAGAGAGAGAGAGAGAGAGAGACACAGACGAGAGCAAACATGTTCGAGACTAGAGGAATCCCCTTTGTCCTGCTCGACTTAGCCTGTCTTATTTTAGGTATGTAATATTTTAGTTTTTTTACCGACTTGCTGTGGACTGTTTTTTATTGCTGCTCTTATTGATGTTAAGCCGATTTGTGACCTAATATAATCCTTCTGTTCGGATATTTAACAGCTTGCCATCACGTGAAGGGAGTGGTGAATGTTCAGTAGCCCACGAGTGTGAGACTTTATACTGTTAACACTGTTTTATTTTAACCTCTAATGGCACCACTAATCAGACTATATGTTTATTTCATACATGTTTAGTATCTTTAAAGCGTTCCTAGAGGTCTTCTTCCCTCCCAGTACACAAAGAATTACATGTTCTTTGTGTTCAGTGTATGCAAATTAGTCCCAACGTATCTTCAGTTGTTTCAGATACTCACTCTAAAGGTTAATAATGTGTTTTTTCTTGAGTGCAACAATCTGTAATAATGTAGCAGCATGCACTATAACACAAATCATTCCTCTCATCAGTGTTATATTAATTTATATTTAAGTGCTTGCCCTATTATACAATGCTTCCATACATGAAAGTTATAGTCATTTCTTTCTCTCAGATAGTCAAATGCTAAGGCTGCATACATTCCTGATTTATATTAATTTAAACCAAATATTAATTGAAAATAGTTAGAAATGGCATTACTATATACAATACAGGCTATGTTTTCAACACACTTACCAGTTTCCTGGCTCAGGTAACCACAAGTCTTCCTTCATTACAGGGGGAGGACACTTATATCAGGTCTGAAACTGTATTCAGATTAAAATATCTGAACTACAGTGTATAAGTTTACCTATAAGTCCTTATCTTGTATCTAAAACCACTTTTGTTAAATATTAAATGATAATCTAAAAGTTAGTCTTTATATTTGAATGTATGAATCATTGCGTTGGTGCTCGTGGGGCTTCAGACGGTTTCAGTCTTGCAGTGTAGGCACAGACATCCTATCTGGGACTTTTACTTCTTTTTGAAATCTGGTTATGAATGATTGATACGTTCCATTACTCATAAAGACATACCTTCCCTCGCACAGTCTGCGGTATATCTTAACATTACATATTTGCTTGTAGGATTAAACCTTTTTGGGGGTTTTATAGCTTAAAAATACACTGTTGGGATAGTGATTTGTGTCTGATATGGGTTTTCCATAAAAAGTTCAATTACCTGTTTCTAAACTCTTAAATGTTGAAAAATCCAGACAAATATTGCTGGTTTCATGAGTAAAAGGGGAAATGTAAACTAAACTTCCAGGGCATATTTTATGTTGCATCATTTTGTGAGTGCAGTATGACTGTACAGACTCAGTGTGCTGTGTGGATGACTGACGCAGAAGCAAACTTGATTACTCTGCTAATGAGTGAAGACCATTAGATTATAACCAGGCATCTGCGATAGTCTGTCTCCGGTGCAGACCAAGGCTTTTTAAAACAGTCATGCACCACTGCATTTAACTAAAACATGCACACACAGGTAGTGAGGTTTGACTCATTAGAACAAAGCTCGATGCTTCTTTTTTCTAAAGGTAATAAATAATGTGCAGGGAGAGAGGATATTTGTGCTTAAACACAATTACTGAGCAGGCTGCAGTGAAGTCTTGGTAAAAGATTAAATAAATTATTATTTTTTTATGTTTAATATCCACAATTGTGTTATTCTGTCTGTGTTTGTCCCTTTAGTTGCACAGTATAAGAGATGAGAGCAAGTTAAAGTGTTACACTGCTGTTTGCTGCAGATAGAAAGTGACGGGGCGTCGTGTGTGTGTGTGTGTGTGTGTGTGTGTGTGTGTGTCTGCCCCCTGACTATCTGGCATTTCCAGCTGTTGTAGCCAGTCAACTTAGGATGGCACAGCGGACAGTGTCAACAGCTGCAGAAATGGCAGACAGAACAGAAATCCCAGACAGAATTTAAAAAGTAGTTCATAGGTTTGTGAAGGTGTATCTTCATGTGATGTGTCACGGCTTGTTAACGTGCATTACAGTTCAATAATAGACCCTCATTTTCTGCTTGAATGGACGAACAACTCCCGTCTTTTCTCCGCTATACAATGGGCT